TAGTTTACCATAACTAATTAATACGTACATGTTACATTACACTATTTAATTATTTAATTTAGCAGCTTGAAGAACAATAATGTTGGAGAACAAGTATATATACTATATAGCAAGGTAGGCGGATGCAGATATGCATATGCATCCTTATGATTGCAATTTTCAATTAACTGTGAATATTTCACATGCATGCAACTCTGGGAGATGGGTTTGATAATTTGCAGCTTTTGCAGAAACCAGTTGGCAATAAATTGAATGAAATTATTTATAATAAATGAGACATTGAGTTGTTGTGGAGTTTTCTCAGCTGGCCCTACTCCTCCTCCCTCTTCCTCCTCCTCCTCTCTCCTTCTGTAACAGCCTGAGCCTGCTTATCATCATCAACATTTCATCACCCACGTTACCAAAAACAAGAAGAAAAGAAAAAGAAATGTTTTTTCCATCAGCCATGTGCACTCCCAGGTGTCTGCAGCACTAGTGTCAAACCGATAACATTGAATGCATGAGTGAGAACGCTGCGTTTTGTGTTTAGAAGATGATGCCCCTTGCACAATAACCGGGTCAAAGTTTCTAATGTATTTGAAGACAAGGACCTTTAAAATGTTGGTCAACACTCAACAGCCCTACCATGTTTTATTTGGCAATAAGTCGGTTTGAAGATTTCATGTAATTTTCCAGATTGAATCTACCCAAAAATTCTATCCTAAATACCAACATTTCAATGCCACTGCTGAAGCCTATAGGCATTCCTAGGCTAGCTATTGATCGTGCTCAGTGTGTATGAGTAAATCCCCCTCCTCCTTCCGACCTTTGACTAAAAAAAAAGATAAAAAACAAAGAGACTTTAGTGTACTTTATTGGTAGATTCCGCATGCATTCATTTGGACATAGATTAAAGATAATTTAGAAATTCTGGAAAACTTTATAGGTCATAGATTTTTCAAAGTAACTATAGCCGCATTACCCTTTTTGACTGGACATTAACGGGACCAATCTGCCAATCTGAATATGTATGTGCATTTTTTAATCTTGCAGAAGAGGCTGAAGCTGCTTAAAAAAACAGAGTACAAGGCAAACTGTGGCAAAATGATTCTGAGCTGCAATTGTAGTAAATAACAGACAGAATTAAGTGGTTCTAGTGGGCATGGAAGTTCTATGTAGCTAAACAATTTTGAATGCAAATTGCAAAACCAGTTTTGGGGCTTGAACCTTAATAATACTTCATCTTCAATCTTTGAATCTGTACGAATTTTACAGAAAAAGTTACCAAAACACACAGAGAATGGTTCCAAAACCACGTGGTTTCAAGAAAAGTGTGCTTTGGTTCCTCAGACACATACACTAAACCGCTTACGCATGGCGGTTTAAGGTCCCCACACCTCAAAATTTTAGTGTCAGTTAGTTGCTGTGACGTCTGCCTAAGCAAACAAACTCTGTTTCTCCTCCCCTCCTCCCACCATCTATTTATTCCCCCCACTCTCCTCCACTTCTCCTCACAGCTCACAGCCCTCCTCTACTCCTCTTTTCCCTTCTTTCTCTCTCTTCATTTGCTCTTTTTCTCACACTTCCAAAAGGTCTGCCTCTGCTTCAAAACATGGCAGTTCTTGGGCTTGTCTTGGTTGGTTTTCTTCTTCTTTCTCTGAGCTCCTCTGCTTATGGCTCTGATGGGGGCTGGATTAATGCGCATGCCACTTTCTATGGAGGAGGTGATGCCTCTGGCACAATGGGTAAGCATAAAAGCTCCTGAAAACCAATTGGTTAAGTAATTTTTCTGAGTACCCATGAATTAATTTTTGATGCCCAAATTGCAGGTGGGGCTTGTGGATATGGCAACCTGTATAGCCAAGGGTATGGAACCAACACAGCAGCTCTGAGCACAGCCCTGTTCAACAATGGGCTGAGCTGCGGGGCTTGCTTTGAGATTAGGTGTGCGAGTGATCCAAAATGGTGTCTTCCAGGCTCAATTTTCGTCACAGCCACCAACTTCTGCCCTCCAAACAATGCCCTTCCCAACAATGCAGGCGGTTGGTGCAACCCTCCACAGCAACATTTTGATCTTGCCCAGCCAGTCTTCCAGCGGATTGCTCAATACAGAGCTGGGATTGTGCCTGTGTCTTACCGAAGGTATGAATTTCAGGCCTCATGCCTCATTTGTTTTTGTTTTTTTGTCATAATTTTTGTTTTTGTTTTTCCTTTCACGCTCCACCCTAGTAACAGGGGTTTTTTTGTAATTCAGTAAAACAAATTTATAATTTATAGTGATTTTAGTTTCGCCACATTTAAATGGCAAGTTTTAAAATCAGGCCATGAAACAGGGATCGGCAATATAAAGCAAAAGTCTCGTAGCTAAAAGTGATTAAAAGTATTTACCAATTCATTCTAAGTTCCATATTATTGGATTCCGTCCACCCCAATATATATCAGCTTTTAATTTGTCTTTTAAATCATCAGCTTTTAATTTATCTTTTATATCATCAGCTTTTCTAGTTTTTTGAAATTTCCAAAACTACCCCTCAACTGTCCAGACCGATTACTTTAATTTTTTCAATGTGTCTTTTTTTTGTAGGGTCCCATGCATAAAGAAGGGAGGCATAAGATTCACTATCAACGGCCACTCATACTTCAATCTGGTGCTGATCACAAACGTTGGAGGTGCCGGAGATGTTCATGCAGTTTCCATCAAAGGGTCAAAAACTGGTTGGCAAACCATGTCTAGGAACTGGGGGCAGAATTGGCAGAGCAACTCTTATCTGAATGGCCAGAGCCTCTCCTTCAAGGTCACCACCAGCGACGGCCGCACCGTGGTCGCCAACAACGTTGCTCCTGCCGGCTGGTCATTTGGCCAGACATTCAGTGGCGTACAATTCTGAAACAACACAAGACTTAACAAGCTAAAAACCGCATGTTTGGTGGTGTCACACTGTCTAGAGTTAATTTTAGAGTCGAAATGAAAAAAAAGGGCTTATTATTTTAAGATGGCCATTTTATCATTTAAAAATTAAAGGGTTATGGGGTCATTGTGCTTTGTTCTGCTTTCTTTTTGGGAAAGGCAGGCGGAGAGAGAGAGAGAGAGATTTGGCAGCGGTGGGCATAAACCACCCGCCACTTTTTTGTTAGGTTAAGTTTGTTTTGGTTTAATTTCATTGTAACGCAATTTTATTTTGAATTACTTGTATGGTTTGGTGAATAAAATCTTCCTCTCTCTTCATGAGGATGAAAATAGATGCCCAAAATTTTCATTCATTCTATCTATCTATGAGTGTTTAATTAATCACCATTCTCATTTAATCCGAAGGTGAAATTCCTGCTTCATAATTAAGACTAATATAATTTTCTGATTTGCTACACCCACCCTTTGTGGTTGAGGGAGGGGTGTGCTTGTGCGACTTCACTCAAGGTGAGTAGTTCAAGAGTCAGGATCACCATGCCTTACCTGAGAAGGTTTCAATTAAACAACTAATCACTTTAATGTCATGCTTAGTTACAAGCTCACCCTAATAGGTAGACTAATGTAATTTGGGCGTAAGTCTAAAACTAAACTTGTCATAATTGAGAATCTTGGGCCAAGAATCTGTAAGACCATTTCCAACCATTGGGGTGGAAACTCAAATTTTCAGTTTTGAGCCCAAATTTCCTCTCTAACCCATGTATTTTGGGGGGTGGAAATTTGAGAAAGGTGAAATTTGGGGTGGAATTACAGTCCAAGTTTTGCCTGGATTGGTAATTTGTGTGGAGCCCAAAGCTGTGTTTTGCAACCCATGTGAAGAGGAAAAAGACGTGGGCCCACGTGACAGCAAAGCTGTCTAGCCAATAACCCTTTTGCGCAACACATGGCAGCTTCAGGAGAGAAAGACGTTAGAATCCAACGGTTGAAAAAAGATGGGTTGTACTTTTTTTTATTTTGAAGTGAAATTCTATTACGCTTTGGAATTTTAATTTTTTTAGGTTAAAATGTTCACAAAATTAAATCACGAATGTTTAAACAAAAATAATGTCAAGAAAAATTAATGACAAAAAAAAATTATGGGTTAATCATTCTTAAACAATTTAATAAAGTTGTTGACTCAAATTATGAGTCTACAAGATTGGAGGAAAAAATATTTGAGTCTTGAAAATACATGAATATTTGTATTTTGGAGGGTGGAAATTTGAGTCCCCAACGTGATTGGAGATGGTGTAACCCCTCTATTTAATATCCATGAAGAATTGGACTAAACCCAAATTCTGACTAGATGTGGACTTTGAAGTGGGCAAATGGGTTTGGGAGGTTAAAACAAGCCCAGAATCTATTTCTCTTAGAATGAAATTTCTGTGACAGCCGGCCCACCCTGTTGCCCAACAATAATATTGTACATTTCCAAAATAAGTAGATCAAATGAAAGGGGTAAGTAAATATACAAATTTCAGTTGCCCCAACTTTGGTAAATGATGTTTAAAATCCTTGTTGCCTTGCCCAAGTAACCAGACAGAGATCCTATATTTGAGTCTTTTTGAGTTGGGAGGCTCATCAAGGTTTTGGGGTACCATGAAATTGGCCTCCAAAGTGAGAGAAAAAGGAGTTCGATTGAATGCCAAGTACTGTATATGTTACAAAACCTTTTAGATTAACACTTTTGCTCAGCCCGCCCGAGCACTTGCTAAGCCTAAGAGGTAGTTTGAGCCAGCCACTTGTCATGCAACTATAGGTTTCCATAGATTCCACGTGGAAGGAGATTCTAATCATCATATCCATATCCTGTTAAAAGAAAAAATCTTCCTACGTGGCCAAAAAGTGGACCCTACAGCTTCATTTTCAGCCAACAACAACAAAGATATAGATTTGTGGATACAACCCTAGAGATAAAACGATAAGGCTCAAGAGTTCCCATTGGCTAATCTATAGCCTCAAATTCATCCTCACCGTTGGACCCCAAAAATCTTTGCAAACCAACGATCAGGTTCCACCAAAGAACAACCACCACAAGACTCTCATTGACAATTTGACATCAAATATACAAAAGCCATGGACTCACATTACACATTTACATTTCCATTTAGCACCATACCATTATCTAATAGTCTCCTCCTGCCTCCACCTGAAATTCCATTTTCTTGACCAAAATTCAGGTGGGAAAATATGGCAACAGTCACAACACAGGCCTCAGCGGCTGTTTTCAGGCCATGCATCAACTCAAAATCCAGGTTCCTTACTGGGTCTTCTTCTACTAAATTAAATAGGGAAGTGTCTCTTATTAGGCCCATGGCTTCTCCATCTGCTACTTCTTTTAAAGTTGAAGCCAAGAAGGGTGAGTGGTTGCCAGGCTTGGCCTCACCAGGCTACCTCACTGGCAGGTATGTTTAGAATTTCTCATTCACACTCATATAGCATTGAATGTTTCATTTAGCTCTGCCTTGTGATACAAGTAGACTGAAAATTTGAGAAATATCATAGATTGGCTGAGATGTGTTTTCTTTTCTGTCGCCAGTCTTCCTGGTGACAATGGATTTGATCCTCTGGGACTTGCTGAGGACCCAGAGAACCTCAGGTGGTATGTCCAAGCTGAACTCGTGAATGGCAGATGGGCAATGTTGGGTGTTGTTGGGATGCTGTTGCCTGAAGTGTTCACAAGCATTGGGATCCTTAATGTTCCTAAATGGTATGATGCTGGCAAGGCTGAGTACTTTGCATCTTCATCTACCCTTTTCGTGATCGAGTTCATCTTGTTTCACTACGTCGAGATCAGACGGTGGCAAGACATCAAGAACCCAGGAAGTGTGAACCAAGACCCCATCTTCAAGCAATACAGCTTGCCTCCAAATGAGGTGGGTTACCCAGGTGGCATCTTCAACCCCCTCAACTTTGCACCCACTCTTGAGGCCAAGGAGAAGGAAATTGCCAATGGTATGTGTTCAAAAATTCACTTCAATTTTGCTTGAAAAGGCTTTGAAATGTGTATGTTTGAAATGAGCTCTAATGTGTTGTTTGAAATGTGTGTGCAGGGAGACTGGCAATGTTGGCATTCCTGGGTTTTGTGGTTCAACACAATGTGACTGGAAAAGGACCATTTGACAACCTCTTGCAGCACCTCTCAGACCCATGGCACAACACCATTGTCCAAACACTAAGAGGCTACTAGATCTGTTAAAAAAGAAGAAGTGGAAAAGCATGTTTCATTTATTTTGTAACAATGATTTAATGGTATTTGAGTGAGATGGTGAGCATCAATGTAGTAGACAAAGGTTTTACCAGTGTACAGGAACCATGGTGGCATTAATATTATCTTTCTCATTACATCTACACTAATTAATTAATTGCTGAAATGAAATCTAATGTTGCAGGCTGTGGGCTGATATAAATCACAAAGTAGCTCAAGATATAATTTTGATTTCATTTTCTATCAGTAATAATTTACAATGTGGGATGCTCTGAATTCAGGAACCCAACCCAACCATGTTACAACTTTGTTGAGTTGAGAGAACCAAAACAGTTAATATACAGATGAACAATGATCCTATATGTCTTGTACAGTATATATACAGGTTTAATCTAAGCCCCAACTGGCTAAGGGACATCAATACCTCTCTTGGGATAACTCTGACCGTTTCACATCATCTGGTCGGTATGTGATGCCTGTAAATCCTTCCATGATTTTTTCAGCTACAATCCCATGTTTGGTTGCTACAAGAGAACAAAAGCAAACATAGAGCCACAAGGCATCAATGGAATGATGAAATACAAAGACCGTTATTCACTTCGTTATATTTGAAACCTGCTTCTAAGCTTGGGAAAACAGAGTGATTAAAATCAATCAAAGAATGGTCACCTGCTGGTAAGTATTCTCCTTGTACACAGCAATGCCGCTTGGCCCAGTTGAAGAAAGCCAAGCATGATGCTCATTGTCATACATCGATCTAGGCAGTTCAAAGTCGCTACTTACTTGATAACCCACTGGATTTGTAGGTAAGTTCATTTCCATCTGAGGCTTCGATGTCTTATCATCCACATTAGAACTACAATATGATGGATACATATATTGCTGGCCAGGTTCCGTACTTAAACACGCATTTATGTCAAACTCATTCAAGCCACCACCTCCTTCCATATTAGGAATTTGTCCCATATTATCTAGTTGTAGTGGATCACCAACCTCAGATTGTTTGCCAGTGCTAGTACTAGCGCAAGTGCCAAAGTAGCTAGTATATTGTGGAACTGAGGCATTTGTAGAGCACTCCACATCTACATCTCTATAGAGAGAGCCAATAAGAAAACAAATTTTGTTCAGCTATAACAAAGCTTTCAACAAATCAAATCATCGATATTGTATAAAGTAGAGGATCATAGCATAAGTAATCTATGAGAAAGAAAGTTCTCAGGCATTGGGCTCTTTGGGGGAAACAATGGTAGATGCATAACAGCAGTAGACTAACCTATGTGGCAGATAGTTCGACTCGTTGGGTAATATCATGTGTTGATTGTCATTATTGAGAAGCCAAGTTAAAGGTTGAGCTTCTGGCATACCACCCACTAATAAAGATGAAGGCATTCCATTTTGAAACTGCGATGCAAGAAAAGTCAATCTTCAGATTTTGTCCATGAGAGAGAGAGAGAGAGAGAGAGAGAGAGAGAGAGAGAGAGAGCATTCTTCCTCAGCTAAAGTATTTATTACCTGGCTTGTGCAATTTAGTGACGTTAGTTGATGTTTTCCCAAATTTTCCTAACAAGAGAAGTATCCAGTATATTAGTATCAATTCAATAGTCAATCACTAATAAGGATCTATTAAGGCAGATAAACAAAATAGCAGCGTCCATCCTCTGGCTTAACATTTTTAAGGTGGCTCGGGTGAGTCAGTGCACCTTAAACTAAACTCACCATGACACCAAAACCAACCAAACCCATATATTTGATGATATTATCACTGTTCATATTTCATCATTAATTTTCACTTATTTGGTAAACGAAACCATAAACTCTAGTTATTTTTTCTTCCCTGGTAACATGAAAAACAAAATTATACCTTGTGTAGACGTGTTCGGTTGATTGATTCCTTAAGTATGTCTTCCATCTGGCTTAGATGTTCAAGATTGTCAACATTATCTGGGTTACACCAAAAGCTGAAAAAGTGACAAGAGCTTAAACTATCATATGAATGCTTTATATGCATACCTTACTGATCAATACATAGTTTCATATATAGATTGTGATACCTTACTGATCAATACATAGTTTCACACAAGACAACATAGATTTTTTATACTTCATCTTGGTTGGTACTAAAATACAGCCAGAATGAAAGTGTTAAATTTCTGACAGAAGTCGAGGCACAAAAATTTTCAAAACAAATGACACAACATATAACATGAAAGTCACAAATATGACCCAAATTGATTCCAAAATTCGTCAGTCAATCCCTAAACTCGCAAACAACTTGATCACTTTCTTTCTTTGGTTAAATATCAACTTAATACCTTGAAATGGCCTTATATAGAACAGACATTTTATAAAATATACAATGTTATAATGCTAGTAAGATGACCATCAAGTCCAAAAAGAAAAAAGCAATACTTTAACAACCAAAAACTCCAAAGGTGCACCTCAGTCTCTTATGTATTTCTGTAAGTTGGGCTTGCAATACCCTTACTTGAGTAGTCAGATCCTGCCGATAGCAATTTATCACAAAACATTAGTTGTCATGATTAATAATTGAAAAAAAAAATTACAATTGGTAATGCTGGTAAAGGATATATACCTGAACCGTCTGAGTGCTGCAAGAAACAGATGGGAAAAAGAACATTATAAAAGGGCCGCATCAAATATTCCCACAGATTTTACTAAAAGGAAATGACAAATCTGATGAACACAATCACATACCTTGAACTCATGAATTCTTGTACATTTACATCATGGTCTAACTTCTTAAAAGTTTTCTTCAGTGCCTATATCCTCAAAAAGAACACCAAAATGCAAGAGTGACAGCAGTTATGTTTTGTTCAATACAACAAAAGCAAGAGAGAGAAGAAAAAAAAATTTCCCATTTGAAATCCTATTATCGACAGTCTTACTTCAAGGCTCTCCAATTTCCTGTTCCAATCAAATGGAAAAGCAGTTAGCTGTAATGCCCTCCAAATTCAATCAAGTTAGAAAATGAGAATGAAAAATTTTCATTGCAAGTACTTTACTACCTCTTTGCCCTCTCCTGTGGAGTTAATTGGGCAAACTTTGAAATAATCTCTTCGACATTACTGACAAAGTCAAGAAAACAAAGAAACTATATCAACATATGATATGGAGAAACTCTCAACCCCCCATTTCAGCCTCATTCTAGTATTGTTATGTTGGTTTGTCCTCAAAGTCATGAAAAAATGCCCATGTATCACTAAAACGTCATCATCAAAACAAAGTATGACTGCAAACTTTCGGGTTACGTTACCTGCGCTCCCCTTGGAGTAATGTAGGCCTTCCAGTCGGGGAAAACATGAGAAGGACAATATCTACATCACATAGTATTGATAACTCCTTTGCTTTCTTCAAGATTCCATTCCTCCTTTTCGAAAACGTAACCTGCCGGTTACCACTGCTCTCCAATTTCTTTATCTTTAACTTCACCCTTCCCATCCTGCGATCCAATAAGCAAACCGTGCCAAAGCTTTATGAAACGCCAACTGTGAAAATTTCTCAATGTCATGAAAGAGCTTACTTTAGCTAAAAAAGAAGACAAAAAACAGGTTCTTGTTTCTTGTTTAAATGCGCCTTGACTCACTTTAGTTACACATAAAAAACACACTTCTCCAAATGAAGCCTTCATCCCACGCACCGGAACTTGACAAGCACATATTTAAAAGTTAAAAGTTAAAAATTAAAAAATTTACCCCGATAATGAACAAAGAAGATTGATTGAAGCTGCCTACAAATAGAGACTGGGAAATGAAAATAACCATCCAGTTTTGGTTGGCACTGATAAATGTACGGCCACCTTCTTTTTAATTTTTCTGCAGAAAAACAGAGTCTATTTATCATAAAAGCAGACAATCCGGTGAATATGAACGAAGCCTTAAATCCCAGAAGGGAAGTAATCACCTGAACGAAGAAAAACAAAATTCTACAACGCCCACTTAGGAAAACATGAAAAAGAATTGAACAACTTTTGAAAGTTGATATAAAATGAAAGAAAAACAAAATCTTTACAAACACCAGCAAAAGAGTAGGACTCAAATGAGAAATATCAACAATGAAAGAAAACAAAATCTATATATTTATATGAATACGGGAGAACGGCAATTCAATAAGGCAAACAGGGGAACCAACCCAGAAAGAGTCATAGCAGAGAAGGATGGAGGGAAAGAAATGGCTATACGATTGAAGCTTACAGATTTGCACACGACGGGTCAAGCTGTGATTTCGGTCGCTAAAATGAGCAGAACCAACCAGCAGAAAATTACTGCGCAGGGGAAGAAACAGAGTGTGTCAGAGAGAGAGAGAGAGAGGAGAGAGAGAGAGAGGAGTAATGAACGGTGCGCTTTGTGAGTTTGCAGTATTGGACAATGGGCATGGGGTTTTTGCACCGAAGACAAAAGGAACAAAACAAATTCTTGGGCTGGGATTGTGAGGAGCTTCTCCACCAAGAAAGCCTACATGGCTTTATTTGCGGTTAACATGGTTGGGGGGTGTCGAGTCACAGAGACAAAGGTGGCCTATTGCAAATTAACAATCAATATGGGAATTAGTCGTCCATTCTCTTTGTAGAGTTTGGTTACTATAATCATGTTCAAATTGGACTTACATTTTATTGATTATCCAAAAAAAAATTATAACATTCATTGACAAAATTGGACTTGCAAAAAAAATTATAACATTCATTACAATGACAATGATTGAGAGAGAGTGCTCTCAGCATGAGAGCCAAAAGCCGCTTCCTCCAATTCCTGCCTTGTCAACAGCCTTGTTGAGGGTACAAACTTTGTGTTTGAGGTAGCTTCAAAGGCATCCAACTGCTCGGATCTCACGGAAAATTGGGTTCTAAGTGCATCCACAGTTTTGTCAAGAAAAACCGATCTTGGGATGTAGTCCTTGAGGCAGCATATGAATTCCAAATGGTCCCTTGCCTGCAAACGAAATAGATAGCATAGGCATCAAACTATGTGCCTTGATAACAGACTAATAGACTATTTGAGCTGTGAAATTCACAGGTTGAATTGAATAAGATGAGACAAGTCAATAGCATACCAATCGATACTCAGGAATTCGTTTTGGAAGTCTGAGGTATGCCATGTTCCTAACCTCATAGTCCCATAGAAAGGAA